TTCTTGACGGATTTTGACGAAACTTGGCATGAGTGTTTGTTATCACCCAAGGATAAACCCTATTAAAAATCAGAAAGCGAAAAATTTAGTATGAGTTATTGCCTTGTTCTTGAAAACATGTTTAATTTTTAGCCCGTAAACACACTCCAGAAGGCACAGTTCTTGACAGACTTTGACGAAACTTGGCATGAGTGTTTGTTATCGCCCAAGGATAAACCCTATTGAAAATCAGAAAAATCAAAAAATATTTAGTATGAGTTATTGTCCTTGATCTTGAAAACGCGGTTAATTTTTAGCTCGCAAACACTCCAGAAGGCACAGTTCTTGACGGATTTTGACGAAACTTGGCATGAGTGTTTGTTATCACCCAAGGATAAACCCTATAGAAAAATCGAAAAATATTTAGTATGAGTTATTGCCCTTGTTCTTGAAAACGCTTTCAATTTTTAGCTCGTAAACACTATAGAAGGCACAATTCTTGACGGATTTTGATGAAACTTGGCATGAGTGTTTGTTATCACCCAAGGATAAATCCTATTGGAAATCAGAAAAATCAAAAAATATTTAGTATTAGTTATTGCCCTTGATCTTGAAAATGTGTTTAATTTTTAGCTCGTAAATACTCCAGAAGGCATAGTTCTTGACAGATTTTGACAAAACTTGGCATGAGTGATTGTTATCACCAAAGGATAAACCCTATTGGAAATCAGAAAAATCGAAAAAAATACTTACTATGAGTTATTGCCCTTGTTCTTGAAAACGCATTCAATTTTTAGCACATAAACACTCCAGAAGGCACATTTCTTGACGGATTTTGATGAAACTTCGTAATATTATTCTGTATCGCCTCAAAAAGTTCAAAAGAAGTGTATGACTGAAGGTTGAATATATTATCATACTGGTGATTATTACTGTACTGCCAAATGTTTTTATTTAAAATCAAAGCTGCCAGTGGGCGTATATTACCTTGCCTGGCAAGCTATCTTCTGTAGAGATATCACTTAAAACTCTGATATCGCGTTCGTTTTTTTTCACTTATTTTGCCCACTCTACAGGCTGCAATTGATTGTTTGTATGTGTGTCAATATCATTATGAAGTTGGACACTATTGAATTTGGTGATGATCCGATGATTTTTTTGAGAGATATTGCATTCGTTTTTTTTTCTCACTTTTTTGGCTCGTGCTCATTCTACAGCTTACAATTCTCCATGCAATCTTTTGATCTTTTATATGTGTGTCAATATCATTATGAAGATGTGCACTATTTAATTTGGTGATGATCCGATGATTTTCTTGCGAGATATCGCATAAAGCTCTGATATCGCGTTTTTTCATTTTTTTGGCTCGTGCTCCATCTACAGGCTATGATAAAGAGTTTGTTTTATAGTTCATATTTAGCTCTTTATCAAGCTGCTGGTGGATGTATTTGCTTGCGAGACTTGCCACAAGCCTTTGTTTGAGGTTTGAAAGAAGGAACATGTCATTTGCCATCTTTAATATGACCAACTTCTTTATATTAAAATATTAGATATATAAGTGAATTTGCTTGATGTAGAAAACTTCATTCAATAGCCAACAAAATATGGGAAGTCTATTGTAATCACCCTGGCGGTCTGTCGGTTCGTTCAAATTTGGCTCGTGCTCTCTCAACAGGCTACAGTTCTTTATGGATTTTTATATTGGGGGGCAATGTCATTATGAAGATGATCCCTATCAATTTTCAGGATGATCTGATAATTTTTCACCAAATTTTTTTTTTCAAATTGGTGTATTAACTCTATTAGCCATAAAGTGCAACTTTTGCTCACTCTTCAAGCAACAATCCTTTATGGATTCTTTTGATTTTTATATGCCCACATGTAGTATGGAAGCATATTTTCAACCGTCCGTTTGTTCACAATTGGCTCATGCTCACTGTACAGGCTACAAACACTAATTTTTTACTTGCAATCAAAGCTGCGGGTGGGCGTAGGTCACCTTGCTTCGCAAGGTTATCTTTATTATACGCTCACATGAATCGGGGGATGTTTATTGGCATTACCCATGTCCATCCGTCCACAATTGCTCGTAAACACTTGCTTGACAAAACTTGGTGTGAGTGTTTGTAATCATCCATGGATGAACCATATTGAAAATCAGTATAATTTTTTGAATATTTAGTATGGGTTATTGCCCTCGTTTTCAAAAATGTGTTAAATTTTTAACTCTGAGACACTCTATAAGACACAATTGTGATGAAACTTGATTTGCGTGTAATCACTCAAGGATAAACCATATTGAAAATCAGAAAAATCAAAAATATTAATTATGAGGTATGGCCCTTGTTCTTGAAAATGCATTCAATATGCCTATAATATTTCATAAACACTCTAGAAGGCACAATTCTTGATGGATTTTCTATGAAATTGTTTATTATCACCAAAGGATTAACCTATGGACAGTCCCCAAAAAATACACCTGTAAGGTGCCTTGCATTCATGGAATTGATTTTAATGCGAAGGTATAGTATGACCATGAACTTTTTGATTGTGATCTATAATCTTAGTTGACATTTATTACAAGAATATATACCACTTATGTTCCTTTGAAAACTTTTACTGGTCAACACATTTTTATACGCCCACACATTAATGTGCTGGTTTCTTGATGGATCTTGATGGATTCATCCTAAAATGAAAGACTATTCGAAAACTATTTAATGAGTTATTGCCCTTGTGTGTGAAAATTTGTTGTTTAATTTGAAAATGTGTTGTGCATACGATAGAGAGCTGGTTTCTTGATGGATTTTGATGAAATTTTTTATCACCCAATGATGAGCTTTATTGAATATAGACCAAACGAAATATATTTTATATGAGTTATTGCCCTTGTTCTTGAAAACGCATTCAAGTTTTATCTTTTAAAAGGTCTAGGTCTTGACGGATTTTGACGAAACGAGTGAAATTGTTTATTATTTCCCAATGATGTACCCAAAAAATCTAAAAAGTATTTTAAAAAGTTATTTCCCTTGTTCTTGAAATCTCGTTCAAGACGAAATTCTCGACAGATTTTAACAAACCCTATTTAAAAGTAAAAAAGTGAAAAAAATTTAATATGGGTTATTGCACTTGTTCTCAAAAACGTGTTCAATCTTAACCTCTTAAACACCTCAGAAGACAAATTCTTGTCTGATTTAGATAAGACTCTGTGAAATTGTTTATTATCACAAAGGGATGAACCTAATCAAAAATCAAAAATATACAGAAAAAGGCTGTGAATGAAAATTGCAGTATGAAAATATTATTTTCGAAAAATAATTCATTTACTGATAGCGCTTGTCAACCTATTTCATGTATGGAAATGGATCGTTCTTTTCCACATTTCGAATTTTTGAAATATAGGAATCCATGTTCCAATCACTTAAAGAAATTCCTGGCACTCAGCTTGTTCTCCTTTTGGCAATATTCAAATAGCTCTACAACCGAACATCATACAACAAATTTAAAGACATCGTGTGATTAGGGCAATGGCTATACCTTTTGTTCAGGTCATGAAGTCGGTTAAGGTCATGAGATATGACCCTTACAAGTTTTGATAATTGCTGTTTTGGATGCCCGTAAATCCGGAAGTAGATGTCAGGCATCAAAGGTCAAAGTACCAACAGATCGCAGACCATTGACCTTGCAAAGATCAATGTTATTCATATTAATAATCATAAATGTTAATTCAGTAGAATGGAAAACCTTTTCATTTTTTAAAGTAAAACGTCAAAAAAAAAAAAAAAAAAAAACTTTATCACAATTTGAAAAAAAAACTTTATCACAATTTGGCCTTAGTAGTGACTGATTTTCATTCATGATTTTATTTGTGACAAATGCATAAATTGCGAGTTATGAAAATTGCAGATATATATACTGTATATTTCCGAATATAATGTGCAAGTGTGTATGCACCCCTTCCTTACCCCATCAAAATCTGGAAAAATCCATTTACCTGTATATAATGCTTGTTTATGAAAATTTGAGGTAGGAGATGGCATAATGCAGTATGTGATAACAAGGTACTTAATGTAACTCTAAACCGGATGTGCCATGTCTGCCCCCTAAATTTTGTAAGGTCTGTTATTATGTGAACAATATTAAATTATGTTCAAAATTCCAAGTGTCTACAGTAATAAGATCATGAGATATTCATAGTTTTGCATTAAAGGCTTGAAAAGTCAAATTACGCTCAGTTACTAAAGAAGTTACGCCAAAATTTTCAAATTTTAAAAGTGCAATTTGAAACAAAATATCAAGTGTTATATATACAATTGGAAAGAAGAGATTAATCGTATTAAGAATACACGAAGCAATTTGTCATATGTAAATTAGGTTACATGATAGAGCTCTTTGAAGTTAAAAATTTTGATTTTCATCAAACCCGGAAGTGAACATCTTCATACAACAAAAGATATCATCAGATAGATCACATCAAAGGCAACAACTTTTGTTCAGGTCACAAGGTCTTCAAAGGTGAAGGTCATGAAATAAGGGCCTTTCAAAAGTTTGGCAAAACCGAAATTCAAACATTCATGTGCATACTTTTCTTTGTAATTGATTGTAGTTTCTAGTGATACCAAAGTATTGCAAATCAGAGGCCCCATTTTGAGTTTGCAAAAATAATTTTTCTAATATCTAAAAATTTCTGAAAGTTACTTAATTTCATCAAAATTTGAAGTGGAATCAAAATTGATTTTAGTTCGCAATCAAAATGTCTATCCATCTGTAAGTTTTCAGATCTATTGAATTTGAAATCCAATTGTAGAAGTAAGAAAAAAAGTGAAAAAACTCATAATTTTTATTTCATGTGGGCGTATATTGCCTCCTATGTCATAACATTTAAACATTTTAGTTTCATGAGTTTTATAAGGATATTGCATCAGTGAAAATATGGTGTTTGTAGTTGTGGCTGTGCACTCTGGGTAGAATTCTAAGAAAGAAAAAAAACAACCCCCTGGAGGACTTGGCTACAATTACAATTGTGGGCATATTACTATGGCCATAGCTATCTTTCAGATTAGCACTTAGCAAAGTCCCACTCATTGCTCTAGTTATTTCTGCTTTTTCCATTTTTAGCTGTGTTTTTCAGCTGATTACGGACACTCTTGATACTGTTTCTTTGAACTGTTGGCTACACAACAGCATGTTCAAATTTTTACTTAGGTCATCAACTTTTGAGTTTTTTTTTGATAGATCTCCAATTTTACAGATAGGCATTTGGGTAGCAATCAACAATTTTCAAGATATCACTTCTGCAATCTTCACTTTAAGTCTCAAGAAACTTTGTTTTCTGTTCCATTTAGATTTTGTGTCTTTTTGAGTAAGTTGTCTTATAGGAGCAGTTAAAGATGGATATCTTATGTGAACGTCGTTAAGTATCCTATCATCCCTAGGAAACTTTTTAGCCCTCCTTGGATTGGGGTGGTTTGCTATCTTAATAGTAATTTAATTTATCTGGTGCTGGTTTTAATCTACTTTTGGTAAATTTATAATCATAAATTATAAATTTTCTAAACCAAATGCTTGTATCTGTTCAATGTAATGCCAAAACTTCTGTTTTGATACTGTCACTAAAGTTTTGTTGAGAATATCATCTCTTTGGTTCAAATGATCTCTTTGCTTCAAATGATCTCTTTGGTTCAAGCATTTTTCTATGTCCCCAAATTTTCTGTATATAGTTTCATCAAATAAATCTTGTGATCACTTTGCTCCAAATATTAATCTTTTTGGCTTGAGATTACCCCACCGTGATTAGTCACCCCAAAGAATACTGAACATGGCAGTAGATCTAGATTCTGGTTCAAGAAGCAGCTGATGATAGCCCTTGCGAATATCAAATTTGCATAATTAAACGACAATGGTTAAATTGTTAGTAAAATGTTCTAGAACCTTGAATTAGTGTTTCTCTCAATAAAATTTGTTTATCAATTGCTTGTCATGTGAGGTTCTAAATGTTCCTCATCTACTGTTGAAAATAATGTTTTAGGTTTAACTCCTAATGGTGAACACCAAGAAACAGTTTCCCTTTGTGGTACCTTTTCAAATATTTCTTCTCTTATACATTCATCTATCCATTTAGAAAGGTTCTTGTAATTAGTAAGCAATTGATCTAGGTTTTTGAGCTACAGGTGTTACTCCTGGTGCTATGAATTTAGTGTTTTTATTCATTTACGTAGTGACTTCATCTTCCCTTGCTTAACTATGACTCAAGCTGGAACGCAATAGAGACAAAAGTTTTTATCTGATTTGAATGAAATTTGGTGTGATCATTTATATTAATGAGATCTTTGGACAAGTTCGAATTTGACCATCTTTTGATGAACGGTTTTTGAGTTATTGCCCTTGACTCAAAATGATCTACCATTAGCAGAATGTACTGAATCAAAAGTTGTCACGTTATGAACGACAAGGTTGTTTTGTTGTTGTTTGCCTACAAAACTTCTTGTAGTTCCAATCCTTGCTCAGAGGAGTAAAACCAATAGATGTGCTACTATTTATACATGAGTTCGAAACAACCATGCACAACCATGGAACTTTTACATTGAATAATTAGATGTCTATAACCACTATGTACTTTTCAAATAGGATCATCTGATTTTAACAATCTCACAACATTTTAACAGATTTGGCGCTTAAATTCCGAAAACAATTCATAAGCATACATTAAAATTTTGACCAAAATATGTGATAGTATTAAAACCAATTATAGGCTGATTCATGTGCACATCTTTTTCAGTGACTAGAAATGGAACATTGAATGAATTTTTATTTAAAGGGACAGATGTGCCTTTTTGGGGGGTTGATTTGAGTCTTGAAAATATGTAAATAGTCTTTAGAACTACTAACAAAACATGCATAATTCCCTCAAAAATATCTCAAACCATGTGATGTGAAATGCCCTTAACATAGCATCTTATTCGTGTCAAAGTTTATTTCTACATATGATATACAGTGGTGTTTCTATAAATCACTAAGTGGAGGGGCTAAGAGGGGCTTCAGAATTTTCAAGGAGGGTCGATAGCACAAGGCATTTAAGAACTCAATGATATGAAATTTGAAACTCCAAAGCTTAAGTTTTGGTCTCGTAGAAATGCCACTGATGTAGTAGAACACAATAGCTGCCATGGAATTTTCTGCTGTGTCAGCATATAGAAATTTCTTTATTTTATGCTTTTTAGGATTGGCGTACCAACAAGAAAAGGACTATAAAGGAAGAATTTGTTGTGAAATGTGATGATGATGAAGAAAGTGAGGTTACTAGTCACAAATCCTCTATGTCAGAAAGTCAGTTAATGTTTGATGAAGACGGTTTAGTTGAAGATAAAAACTTGATGTACTCGAGTCCAAATCATTTGTCGGTGACAAACTCATCTCCTAAAAGATTAACTGAAAGTTTGTTGAGTTTTAGTGAAGGAGGTCGACTGGGAGTTGAGCCAGTTGTAGATAGTGCATCTATGAATTTAGGTGAAATAGCATTAGATGCTAGAAAACGGTGTACTAGTGAATGTTTGACTCATGCTACTGATGATGTATCCTACAGTTCCTCATATGAATCTATAGATGGTATACATCATAAGCCTAAGAAATCCCCATTAAGCATTTCCTTAGAGAAGGAAGAAAAAGAAGATTATTTCTATTCAGAAGGCTCCAATAATAAAATGGATATAATGTCAAGGTAAAGATAACATTTATTGTGTTGAATTCTAATAATTCATTCTTGAAAGTGGAAATTTACCATAATACTGGTAATCATCAAAACAGAATATAATCACTTATTTAATATATTTATTGTCTTTGTTGCAAGTTTTCTCCCACAGTCTCTCTTATGAAATTATTCCTAACCAATCAAAGCATGTCATGTAAGACCTTTTTCTTAATAACAAGAATTCTAGGAGAGCAAAACAGAAAGAGGCTATCATATTGCTCTACTTTGGATTTCACTACCCCACAATTCGTCAAATGTTATTAAGAAATGGGTTCTACAGAACCTGCTTTGACAATTTAAATATAATGTCATTAGAATGGCATTGTGGTAGAATGACTTATTACAATGGAGACAATTTAAAAAAAAGAATCAAAATTGTTGTCTACCTTAATTATCTACTTATACAGATATTTAGTTATCTAGATCTTGGATGACCTTTTTGTCCAAGTTAATGAACTTCCTTTGAGAACAAGATATTGTAACTATCAAATTGGATGTTACCAGCATGCTAGATAATACTCGACCCTCTGTAATACTATACATACATAGATAATAAAGTAATTTTGGTATCTTAATGGTAAAGAATTCAATTGCCTTGAAATTTTGATATTATTTGGTTTCTTCGACAATTTAAGGATTTAGAATTGCAGTTAGCTGTTACAATTTAGGTTTTGTTGAAGTAAAGTAAAGTAAGCACGCTGGATACAACTCTTGGATATGCATATTTAATCAGGTTTATGTACTACTCATCAGTAGTATATATCAATTCAAAATGCATTCAGGAAAAACACACCTTTATTTATTTATATATTTCAGATGTATATCAACACTAGAACCTATAGTTGTTCCATATCTTAGTCCATTAGTTTTAAGGAAAGAGTTGGAACATGTTTTAGAAAATGAAGGAGATTTGTGTCTCTCTTCAGACGGTTTTATAGATGATCATCCAATTATATTTTGGAATCTAGTAAGTATCTACTTCACAACTGAAGTACAAAAAATACAGGATAACAGAGATGTGAAATTTGTATGTCCAAGTCAAAGTATAATGTCCATTATATAGACACAGCTTTATGGAACAACAATCACTGGTTAAAGTTTTATGCAACGTGT